CTCCCCCATCACCCCCGCCTCCTCAATAGAGATTTAAACTCTGGGCTTATATTGCTGGGCTAAGTGTGATTATGAGCTAATATTTTTATAGTTTATGCCCACATTTCAAAAATCTTTTCCAGGTTCTCATATTTCCTCTAGGATTTGCCACATGTTAGCAATAAAGAAGATGGCTAATTGCGTTTCTTTATTCTTTCTTTGTTTAGGATGTGATAGGCCAGGTTCTGCCTGAAGCAACAACCACAGCATTTGAATGTAAGTCTGGCTTGTATACTTTCTTGACTGTTTCCTTCTGCAGTAATTTTTCAAGGGGTTTATGGGTTGCATTAGTTTAGAAACTGACAAAAACACATTATTTATGATCATCATATGGTACATTTAAATATTTATAAATTAATGCAAGTTTAATGATGATACTTAACTGAGTAATATTTTCTTATTTAATCATATCTTGGGTATGCATATTTCTATAATATAGCTTTAATTACCAACATGACCTTTATCTGCTCTTGCTCCTCACTGTAATAATATTGTGGTGTAAAATGAAACCTGTAAACTACCTGTAGGCCAATGATTATTGATTAAGAGATTTTAATCCATTGCTGCTTTATAACAGCCACAGAGCAGAGCTTTTAAATTAACATTAAATGGAATAATTCTGTTTTAGTGAGGGTTGGCACGGCTGCTAGATGATGGCAGCAACACTTCAGGTCTTAAGTCCTTTCCCCACACCACCCTCCACACCAAAGCAGTTGGCTTAGGGACCGGGGGAAGGCAGGGCACTAGAAAACTGGTTTTTGATATGAGGCAGGTCACTGCAGGAGAGGTCAGGGTCTGAGTAATGTTAAGGTGAGAATTTAGTCAGGAGCTCTGGTGTTGAGAAGGATAATGGATTTGTAACCGTAGTTCCCATTTTTAAAAAAAGATGAGTGCCGCTTTCCATGTGGAAAAATGTCTGGTTTCTCCACATAATGTACTTTTTGTTCTTGTGTTTTAAGCAGATGGTTAATGACAGAGAGTACATTGTCCCCTGTTTTACTTACGTTCTCTTTGGAGGACAATTTGGCAGTACTTACCAAAATATAAAATGTGTAGAACCTTTGACTCAGCAGATCCACTTTTAGGAAGCTGTCCAACAGAAAGACCTAAACATATGTTGAATGCCCTTCAAACAAACTGTTCATTGTGGAATTATTTTTAATAACAGAAAGTTTAAGGTAAGCTAACTGCCTAAAATAATAGATTAATAAGTTATAAATCTGAATCACTAGGCAGTGGGTATAAAGAATGAGTTAGGATTTTATGCATTGACATGGAAAGATATCCATAATATATTATTGACTAAACAAATAATATATGTGGTAAAATCCTATTTTCTGAAAAAACTAATCTCTCCTCCTCCCAACTTCATGAATATAAGGTGTTCCAAAAAAATGTATACATACTTTAACAGCTGATAGCTCAATTTTGAAAATGAAATGTATTTTAATAAACACTGCATTTGTTGTTATTCAAAGTGCATGTATACATTTTTTGGGACACCCTACATATTGAGAAACAAGGATCTGAAGTTGCTGCAGTGCTTTCTAATGATTTTCCCTGGAAAGGCAACTTGGAGGCCGAAATGGGGGCTGAATGAGCACGCTTTTTCCTTTACTTATTTCTCTATTGTTTGACTATTTTTCAACAATTATTACATGTTTTTAAAAGCTACTTGAATAGAACTCTTAAGATAATTTCTATTTTATTAAAAACAGTACATAGATCTAAAATACATATTAGTGTTGCAAGCTCTTTAGACCCCTTGCAGTAACTCCGTGGGGGTGCCAGGGATTTCACATATAGGCTGATAGTAAACATTTGGAGTACTTGCTGTTGCTAGATGCTGTGCTAAGAGCATTCCATGGGTTATCTCATTTAATTTAACCTTCACGGAATCCCCACGAAGCACGTTGACAGTCTGTTATTAGCTCTGTTTTAGTTGAGGAAAGGACATCTCTAAGACCTGCTCAGAGCCTTACAGCTAGTCAGTGGTAAAGTGGAATTTCTGGAGTAGACTCCAGAGCACATACATATATATTCTCAACTACTGCTGAAATGTGTTTTGAGAGTTTTCATAATTCTTGAAATCATGTGTTCTGATTGTTCTTAAGTGCGGCAGAAAAGAAGCTTTCTACTTTCTACTTCTTGCTTTTTGGGTCCCCCAAAATGGCTCAATGTACCCGTGCCCCACAGGCTTCAAGAGTTAGGTTCACAGTGATAATACTGATCACTTTAGCTGTCATTTATTGATGGCCTGCTCTGTGCCAGGCAATGTACTACAGGATTGACTTAGATTGTTGCCAATCTTTACAACAGGCAAGGTAGGAAAATTATACCTGTGAAGAAACTGAAGCTCTGAGACACGAAATGATTGCCAAAGTTGATTAGCTAGGAAGTGGTGGAGTCCAGATTCAAACAATTCTTTTTGAGTGTAAAACTTACGCTCTTTATAATTAAACAGTTAAAAACCTGTAAAGTGTGTTAAGTATGTTTTATATGGTTTTTTATGGGTTTATGGTTTATGGGTATGATGGAACAAACTCTTGAAAATTAAACTTTTATCAAAGAAATATGTATGGTATTATATTTAATACTGAAAAGTATACCTAGCTCTAACAGAAAAAATTCTTAAATTTTTAGGTTTAAGTTCTTAGGCATCTCATTCTCCCCCTGACCACCCCCCACACACACACACTCCTCCACCTACATGGCAGCAGATCTGTATCCATTTGCATCTGGACCAGTTTTAGGTGAAAAAATAAATAAAAACGAAAATACACACAGACAAAATAATGATAGTTTTTTGTGCTTAGATTATTGAGTACTTTCTATTATAGACTTAAAAATCCTAGGCTGGCTTTTTCTTCCCCCATAATTGTTCTAAGGTGACCTTATTTTCTGAATTAAATGGAATCTATGTATAAGAAACTAGAGGTCCGGTGCACAAAATTCCTGCACTCAGGGGAGGGGGATCCCTCAGCCCAGCCTCCGCCCTCTCGCAGTCCAGGAGCCCTTGGGGGATGTCCAACTGATGGCTTAGGCCCGCTCTCCATGGACATCGGTTGGACATCCTTAGCACCGCTGCGGAGGGAGGAGAGGCTCCCGCCACTGCCGTTGCACTCACCAGCCTTGAGCCCAGCTTCTGGCTGAGTGGTGCTCCCCTTTTGGAACTCACTGACCACCAGGTGGCTGCTCCTACGTTGAGCGTCTGCCCCCTGGTGGTCAGTGTGCGTCATAGCGACCGGTCGTTCTGCAATTCGGTCGATCTGCATATTAGCCTCTTATTATATAGGATGCATATTAGCCTTTTATTATATCGAATAGTTGGAAAGATGTAGTTTGTAAACTAATTTACTGATATTTTTGAGCAGTTTCAATCAGTGGTTTGTGGGTATGATAGAACAATTCTTAAATACATAAAATTTTAATCAAAGATATATTTATGGTGGTACTAGAGGCCCAGTGCATGAATTTGTGCATGAGTGGGGTCCCTTGGGTTGGCCTGTGGAGATTGGGCCCCGGTTCGCATCCCCAACCTCGCAGCCCCAGCTCAAGCTCCCAGCTTTGCAACCCCATAGCCCTGCCTGGCATCCGACCTTGGCCTGGTGCCGCCCCCTTACCTGCTCCACCATCCCACCTGCAGGGCGATTGATAGGGGCTGCCCCCTCCTCCCCCGCCGCCCAGCTCCCTCAGTTTTTGGGAGCCGGGTGGCAGCCCTGCCTTCTACCTCTGCCGCCAGTTGCTGTCTGTGGGGCGATCGGGCCCCCCTTGCACCCACCTTGGCCTGGCGCTGCCTGCTTATCTGCTTCACCATCCTGCTGTGGTCCCCCTCTTGTCAGGGCCCTTCGGGGCCGGCAGTGCCTCCACTGGTGCCCCAGCACTGCGTCATTGACACCCACCATGTTCTGCACCGCCCCCTGGTGGTCAGCACACATCATAGCGAATGATCACACTCCCGGTCTCCCAGTCTAATAACCGCCTGAGGGGACAATTTGCATATTAGGCTTTTATTATATAGGATATTTATTACTGAAAAATATACCTAGCACCAATTGATTTCTTATACAAAAGAGATGGTGTTATATTTAGTGATATGAATGTAGCAACAAGAGAAAGGGCAGGCACCGCGGAGGGTCTGCAGTGCCTGTATTCTTTCTGACTTCTGTTCCTGGGTATGGTGTTTCTGGGGATGAGGTGAGGGAGGCCCATTTCTGCTGAATTCACCTCTTGGACTAATGGCCCTAAACCTCTTTTTCTTCTTACTTCTTAGTTTTTTCTTCTTTATGAGAGCACAAATGAAAGTACTTTTCAATAGCTAGTTTGATTTTTTTTTTAATGAAGAGGTATAGGTGATCTTTAAAAAACATTCAAACAGCATAGAATAAAGAAAGCTGTAAAAGTTCCCATTTTACCTAAGTCACTAGTTAACAGCTTTTTCTATATCTTCACAAAAATTTTCTCTGTACATATTATATGCTATACTGGAACTTGTTTCCCCTGCCTGCACTTAAAAGTACACATTGGGCCCCTTTCAACATTAGTGTGCATAACCTCATTCTTTTGGATGACTACATTATACTTAATTTTATGGCTATGGCTTAATTTATTTAACCTACTGATGGACCAGTTGGTGTTTTAGTATTCAAAAAAAAAAATGCTGCAGTTAGCAGCATTGTCTTGTATTGTTCCACATTGTGCAAATATATTTGTAGGATAAATTCTTCAGAGTTGGAAATACTGAGACAAAGAGTCACATATATACATATTAATAGCTATTACCATGTTGCTCTCAAAAAGTAGAACCAATCTACACTCCCACCAACCATGTTTGAGACTGCCCGTTTCTCTCTACCCTCACTAACTCTGTGTATTAGCAAACTTGTAAGTCAGTGTCAGTTTGATAGGTGAAAAAGATGAATTACTGTTTTATTTTGTATCTCTTTAGTTATAAATGAGCCTGAGCATATTTTCATTTGTAGTTTGGTCATTTGTATTTAATTTCTGTTAACTATTTGTCACCTTTACCAATTTTTCCATTAGGTTATTTGTCTTTTTCTGATTTAAAAGCTTGCCAATATTCAGAAAATTTGCCCTTTGTCTTATGCTACGGATATTTTTGTGTAGTTTACTACTTGTCTTTCACTGGGTTTGGTCTTTTCATCCCTCTTCTTTGTGTCCATGGGAAAGTTGAAAGTTTTTACATGGTCAGGTTG